ACTGATTTACCATCATTCCCTAATGCTCTACGTCTAACCTCTCTATTACTTGCTCGGTGATCCCAGCAGATGTTGGCAATACTTCTAAGGCATCTGTAGTCAAACACTAGTAGCTTACGAACTGCCGCACAGTACAGTCGTCCCCTAGTTGATAGACAGGTATCTCACCTTCGCCATAAGTGATGTAATTTGGCAAAAGCCAAACGAGCTTTCTGAATTCACAAAGAGATTTCTGTTGTAACGTGTGAGACTGCAGGTTTTGCTATGCAGCGTTTATATCGATCGATCACGGTAACACGGAAAACACGTGCGGACGGCCTAGAGTCTCGATTGGTCCCACTTCCTTGTCTAGCCTAGTCAGTTGAGTCCAGAACACAAGTCACAGCCGCGGAGATATGAATCATGATATTTCAAACATACTTTGTTTATATACCAATCAAGCATACCACATCGTACCATAAAGTAGAAAACAACATTTTGTACAATATTCAACAACTGAACAGATATCGACCAATAGGAAATGTCCATTTAAAGTCCAAGGACACCATTGGACTTAACATGATAATTATTGGTCTATTCCTCCGCATCACAACAATATCGTCAGACACTAACCCATTAGGGCTGATCAAACTTCCAACTCGTTCAACTAATTCACTCCCTATCCTTAGTTCAGGTGTTGACGCAGTTCAGTCCTTCTGTAAAGAAAAAATAAATGGTGTCTTATTTTTTTTCTTCGATTCTGGTACGTAAACGAGCAGTATAACCAGTAGATAGTAAATGATAAGGCAATTTTCGAAATTGTTTATTTTTTTACAAGCTGATATTTCACATGTTGATGCATAATAACATTCTATAATGTTAAATTTAATCCAGAGTCGTCAAGTTACCTGAATCAGTCCTTGAATACTATCAATTAACATTCATATGTTTGATTAATGTTGAATAATATGAACTGTGATTTTGGATATAATAAAGTAATTTCTTTCAGTTGTTAATCTGTCTTGATACAAATTCATATATCAATAAACAAATTATCAGACTGAGGACTTGTGGAGATTGTAGTAATGTAACGGTTGAAACTATGAGTTGATCTAAGCTAGATCACCAATGGAAACCTGGAATCACTGGGCGGTCGTTTCGTTCTAGTATAGGACTCCTCAACAATAGGCATCCACGATCCCTCACGCGAGATTCGAATCAATGACCTACAGTTTGTGGGTGAACGCTTGGCCCCTAGACCAATGAGCCGACCGGCATCCCACAGCGTTAATGCTTAACTATGATCGGCCTATGCTCTTGCATAACTCTCCATCCATTATCTGAGATAGATGACATTCACCAGCAAGACTGAAGCTCCTGGGTTCGAGTCCTGCGATCAAGATTGTAGATGAGCATTATTGTAGAGTCCCATACTAGATCAAAACAGCCGTTCATTGCTACCAGGTTTTCCATGGTAATCTGTAAAATTGATCAATTTATGAGTTCAACTGTTATAATAAATGAATGATCAAATTATGCTTATTTTCATCCTTCGAATTGATAACTAATTCATTTAAACAATCATGTATTATGAAAAGCATAGAACATCATTCATTTAGTTTGAATAACCCTTGTAATTAATTGTCAATGTAAAACAATTGTAGATTATAACCTAATAATTTAACCTCTCAAGAATTAATTTATTTCATTTGTTCCACATTAATCTACATTGTTATATTTCCTTATTGAAAGTTCAATAATAAGTTTTATAATTAAAATGATTAAAAAAATTTAATCTCATCAAAATGAATTCAGTTGTTGATTCACAATTTAAGTAATCTGTATATTTTAATGGTTGAGATCATGAATCAATTGAAGTTAGACCATCATAGAAAACCTGAAATCAATGGATGGCCGTTTCGTCTCAGTATGGAGACTCCTCAGCAGTGCTTATCCACTATCCCGACTCGTGAGATTCCAATCCAGAACCTATCAGTCTCGCACGCTAGCGCTTGACCTCCAGACCAATAATCAGGCATCAAATGGTGTTAATGTCTAACTTCAACTAATCCATGAAATTGAACGACACATCCATCATTGTTTTTAGTGAGTTACTATCTTATAACAAACCCAGTTGAACTCGACTGGTCACTAATTCTCACTAGAAATCCAGGACATAGTATCCATAAAACCACTTCTGATATTACTATGTATATGTTGATGGGAATAGTCAAGTTTGTTGTTGCTCAAATAAATAATGAATTTTGTTTGTGAAATATAAATATGGGGGGAAATACTACTACTACTACTACTACTACTACTAATACTACTAATAATAATAACAATAATAGTAGTAGAAATAGTAATAATAATAATATACTGATCAGACAACTTCAATATATTCAGATTTTGGCTAGTATTTGAATGTATGATAAAGTTTTCATTGTTCACAGATGTTGGTCACATATCTAACTTTATTCTTTTGCAAATAATAAGATATGCATATAAACAAAACAGAACATAAACAACTGAATGTTTCCAACTGAAAATTTCCAAAAGATAAACCTGTTTTCAACATTCGATTTCTTATTATTTTATTCATATAATAACTAGATGAATTTTTGTTATAACTTGTGACCGCCGACTAGACAGCAGTGATTCAACGATCGGACCAAGGACGCGTAAAACACGTGCGAGCAGTCCAGAGTCTTGATTGGTCCTGTTTTCCGCCTAGCTAAACCAGTTAAGTCCAGAACACCGATCCGAGCCTCTGCGATATGAATCATTATATATCAAACATACTGAGCTTATATACCAGTCAAACAGACCACAACGTACCGATAGAATATGAAACAACATTTGTACAAGAATTAGCCAGATGTGACTGTGAATGAGGAGGTAGTATTTTATATACTTGGTATAACTCAAGAATGGTAAAACGTATAATAATAGTTTATGGGTCAAAATAAAGCTTATAACAAAAGGAATATGAATATGCATAGTTTAGTTACTTAATAATTATACGATAGAAATATGCGTTTACTATTGGTCTATCAATAGGTCCCAAAAGTTACCATTCATTGTTTTGTCGGGACATAACAATTTTAAGTATTACTTAATGAAATTGAAATTTCATGTTCAACGAATTGGGCACTGTATTATCTTAACATAATTTTTATTTTAATTATATGTTTGTATGTATCCCTAAACAGCAGCATCACAAGCTAATCGTCGACTAAGAATCCTGAAAAGAAACGAAAAAAAACTGGAAGACCAAGGAGTAGATTGATTCGGGAATTGGAAGTAAACATGAAAAGGATGAATAGCAACTGTAAAGGATTATCTAGGACAAAGTTGGATGAAGAATGTTGGTAGTTCCACGAGGGATGATAGGCGCAAGTAAGTAAGTAAGTAAGTAAGTCTGTATGTATGTATATTGAAACATGTAATGTTATCATATAATATTCAATAACATATACTCAAGCTCATAACGAGTATTTACGAAAAAAAACTATTAGTAAACTAAGTATGTTGCCATGTGAAAGTATGACATTATGAAAAGTTTTAATTATTCTTGATTTAAGTGAACGTATGGATGTAAGAATCCTAATCATACATAAAATAAGACAATATTCAGTAAACGAATCCTAAAAAAGGAGTTTTATGTGTGTTATTTATAGATAAGTCATTTTACATACTGATATAAAATGAGAAACTAATAAAATCCAGGCTTCATTAATAAGTTGATAATGTATGATTACACAATAGATTAAACCATGAACATTTGAATCTCGTTGTAAGTACGCTTGTATTATTCATTTATTTGAACATATAAATATTAATACAAGGTGAACCGATTACTTATGCACCACACAAGTCACTTGGTTTGTGTGTGGACTGTGATACTGCCCGAAACAAGTGATTTTCTTAGTGGACCACAAACGGAGTCCTCGACCTAAAGGTTTAATCCACAAGGCAATGGAGCAACGTCAGAAGACACAGTCTTATGGTAGCCGATGACCAACTATAGGTTCATACGCCATTTCTTTCTTCAGGATACTGGAGCTCATGTGCACCATTGGTTCAGCATCAGAATTTTCCAACTCCCCTAGGTAGAACCTCCGTGTAAACAACAACCACGCCACAAGAAGGCATTGGCTATGTAAAAGCCTTTCGACAGGGAGAGCTAACTCTCCCGAACTTTCGGCCGTACGATGGCCAGCCTATGAATCCAAATGTCATTATGAATATATATATTTTAACTTCAGTTGATTCATGATCTTGCACGTTAAGTATGTATATTCAGCTTACAACAGTATAAACAACTATTTAACATATATGTATAGGCTTTTAATATGTAAACATGTTAAGGCTTTCATCCATTGCATTATTATGTTTTAATGTATAAAACTTACAATTCTGTTTCTTTTTTTGTTTCAAATAGGTGTAGAAATCACCTTTATTTTCCGCTAATTACATTTTTAACGATCTGATTTCCGTGAGAATTCGACCTTCAATCTTTTTACATTATTGTTAGGCAATCAATCACAATGGTATATACATAGTATTTTATTAATGTTAATAAACTTTGAAAACAAAGAGAAATTATTTAACTTTTATAAGAGGGAATCAAACATTTTTAACATTCATTCGCAAGAAATAATGGTTGATTTATTGCTGGAGTTTTGTTCTCTGAACTGATGGTTTGGTCGTGGAGCTTTCATCATTCTTCTAAACGACATCATCAGCACAAACTACAGATAGAAGTAAAGTGTTCGAATTTCTCCATATACGTTTCACAGCTTGTTCTGTACACCTCGACGTTGATTGGTTCTTATTATGCTCATGATGTCGTTCAAAAGAAAGATGAAAGCTCTACGACCAAACCATCCAGCTCAAAGAACAAAACTCCATCAAAATCATCCACCTTAGCTACAAATCTTCTCTACCATCTCAATGGTTGATTTATTTAACAACAACAACAATAGAGATATAAATATCGTCAGAAATTATTTACTTACTTGTCTTCTTATGAAATTGTATTTCAATTTGTAATTCACATTTCTTTTCTAATGTATTTAATATTGATTGTTTTGCATTATCATCGGTTCGTTCACCCAAAGAAAACTACATGAACAACATTTTGACATAATTTGTGATCTATTATAACCAGTTAATTCAACAAATCCATCAGAACAATATACAATAGGATAATCATGTACTTGTGCATTACCCAATACAAAATTACTATCTATAAAATATATAATAAAATGAATATTATTAGTAGTAAAGATTATAAACCTAAATGTATTATAAGTATTATAGAAGAAAATTCATAATTTTAACTTCAATTTAAAAGATAAATCAATTGTGATTACATCTCAGTCCTACAGGAGGTTGGTCGCGGCTCGGATAGCTCATAGGTAACGTCTCTGACTGTGAAGCTGGATGACACCAGATTGAATCCGTCGGGAGCACCAGTTCCCTCAAGATTACAGGTACATCTTGTTGACCAGTGCCAAGTATCACGAAACCCGAGTCATCAGGGTTTCCTTTCGACCACCTCCAACCACCATCTAATCTCAATATATAGTGCCTGCAATGTCGAGTCACCTAGACTGGTGGCCACATTGCAACATGATCGATAGCATTCGATCTGCACTAATAAGGACTAGACACGCATCACATTGATCGCCACCCAGTGACCAATCAATTGTAAAAGATAAATACTGTATTTTGAAGGTTATATCATAGGATGACTGTAGTTAGACTAAGTGAGAATAAGGAGCCACCGGAAATCTGTCTGGTTCCAATATGAAATTCCTTAGAAGTGTTGATTGACGACTTCACGGAGGATCGATTGTTCAAGCTTCAAGTTCTGTAGCGAGTACTTAACTTCTAAATCATTGAATTGGCATTTATTGACTTAGAATTCAACCGTCAATGAATTCGAGATATTGAGTGACAGTTATTTAACTATTATTATTATTTGTGGGTAAGTACTCCATTCTCCATTAACAACGGTCCTTTTTATAAATCTAGTAACTAGCTATCAAAAAGATATTTTGTTCACCTTCAGATTGATATTATTTTCGTCAGATCATTCAATAAGTGATTGATATGACTAAATTAGATGGCAACTCGAAATGATGTACATACGTACAAAGTCCTACCTTGTTACTGACTGAGTGACTGAATGTCGATTAACTGACATGAAATACAAAGTCATGTTTCTCTGGAAATAAAATGTGATAGTGTATACACATATTGCATAATCAAAACCCAATTGGTTAGTAATGATAGTTGATAAGTAAAAGGCCATTCATATTAATAGCAAGGAATAACTAGAAGACTGTTTCAACCTTCTTTGAACCTACAATGAATGAAATCAGGTGAATTCAGTTTTCTTAGGAAACGTGATACTTTCAAGTCACTGATTTAAAAATCAATAAACCTTATGTTTAATCAGAGTTCAGAATCGACCAGCGAATCTAATTCCCTTAGTGATTAACTATACACAACATACTTTTCACTTCAATGGTATATCATAAACGGCGTCCATATTATGCTCAAAATATCTCACAAATACGAGTCATTAATAAGTATTCAAAACCAGCTATGTCGTTAATAAAATATAGTCGACATATAAGACGATGGTTGGAGGTAGTCAACAGGAAATCCTGGACCTAGATTTCATGCTACTTGGAATTCGTCAGCAAGGTGCTGCCTGATGGATTCGATCCCGTGTCACTCAGCTTCATAGTCAGAGACGTTACCAATGGGCTAACCGAGGCTAGAACCTAGACTAAAATGAAACAGCTGTCCATTATATTTTGGCTTATAGCTTGGTTTTTACTAAGATCAATCGGTGATGTGAACTATTGAATTAAAGCTTATTCTCTTCTCTGTAAGCGCTAATACTGTTAGATATTACAGAAAAGTTATATGTTAGGTGAAAACTGATAGTGATATGCATTTTGTGGAGTATGTTTACAGTCAAATAGTACTTATAATAGGTTAACATGATTTACGTTTATAAAGATAATTTAAAGGATTTTAATAGAATGCGTTCATCAGATCTAATGTTCAAAGTAGCCGGTTACAATGATTTTTCAGTCAACAATAAAAGGTTTAGAATTCAATGATTTAATTAAGAGGTAACAACAGTGAGAAAACGTTTCATGTTTATTTGATAATGTGGATCCGCTCACTGGATTATATAATTAACATTAATTTTTAAACATAGTGTAACGTCTTTTGGATAACTCCACCTGCAGCCCCTCTGGGGCTATTGCCGGTCCCAAGCCCAGTTGAAGGAGGAGGGTTAGGCTCGAGGTTAGCGACCCCATCCCGTGAGAAGCTAACTCGCCAAAAAAACGCTAATCAGAAAAAAATAATTCAATGTTTTTAGGTATGTTGAACTGAATATTCATAGCTTAAAAGTAATACATTTAGGTCTGTTTGAAATGAGCTTACATCCCAGTGTTAACATTCACACTTGAATTCGAACCTAATATCTTTCATTTCAAGCATTATAATCATCCAATTAACGATGTTCAGATGACTATTAGTTTGTTTAGCAGGTATGATGTTAGACAAATGGCTCATCAAATATAGTCCATTATTTTAAACACGGGAAAACTCTAATTCGAACTATAACACTCAAATGTAATTTATAACTTAATTCAAAGCAACTACTCTCTTTGATAAATTTCGATAATCCAATTTCGATAGTAGAATCAATCGTATTTATACTAGCGACACTCTTGACTGAAACGTTAAAGAAAAATGGTTATTCATTGAAGTTCATAAACCTTTGGAAGGGTTGTAATACGATTAGACCGACGACGCTGATGGCACCCAAAAAGCGAGTTTACATTATGTTACCATTTAGAGGCGACAAAAATAGTCTCATGTTGAAACGGAGACTTAAATTAGCTATCAACCGGACATTTTATACAACCCAACCTGTCATTACTGGAAAGACAAGGTCTATGTTCCACCAGAAGCTCAAACAGCAAGTAATCGATTGTGTCACATACCATTGTGTCTATCAGTTTACATGTATGTGCGGAAACACGTACATATGGGGGAGCAGTCGTAATTTGCAATTATGGATGGTTGAACACATACCAAAACGCCTGCAGAAAAAAATGAATTCCAATGGTCAAAAAGATCACAGACATCATCCTTCATGGCAAAACATTTGATTGGGATTGGTCATAAGGTTGACATCAAGTCAGCATTTGTAGTGTTGTACAAAAGCCTTCAAGGACGTATACTGATGTTTATTGAAACCTTGGCTATACGGAAACTGAAACCCCTTTATGGGTTGAAAAACAATTTGTCTTTACCTACTCTGGTAATAATGATTTATTATCCAGAGTGGTTATCACATTGTTTATATGTACTTTTTTTCTTTGTTACGACTTACCTTTAACCTGTCAATTGACCTTTTAGTTTTCATGTACAACATGTCTTAACAAGTACATTATGTGTGATCAGATTGATTTCGAAATGTATTGCGCTAATATATCATCACATAATTCTAATAACCTTCATCTAATTGTATTATCGAAATATAACCTAATTGTTAGTATACAGCTTAGTGAATTGAGTACAGTAACAAATTCAGGAAAACAAAACAAAAACATAAAATTATCAGAATGGGTTTTGTGGAGATTTTAGTAATTTGACTGGTTGGAATCATGAGTCAATTGAAGCTAGACCACCATGGAAAACCTGGAAGCACTGAACGGCCGTTTCGTCCTAGTAAAGGACTCCTCAGCAGTGAGCATCCACGATCCCACACCCGGCGGGATTCGAACCCAGGACCTATCAGTCTCGCGTCAGGCGCTTAACCAATTAGACCACTGAGCGGGCATCGAACGGTGTTAATGTCTAACTTCAATCAATCCACGAAATTGCGCCACCGTACACCGTACAACATAAAATTGTTGTTCTGTTTAAAACACATAATATGTAATTACTAGAATCTTGAATATTCATTTAAGAATATCATAAAACTAGATAAAAACTAATCATTTTGGAAAAAATTGGTTGTTTTACATTATGGAGTAAACTCTAAAGTTAAGTAAATGAGGAGGAGAGATTGAAGAAAAATGTTATGAATAGATTTAAACTGATCAATTCCACTCCTAAATAACAATGGAAAGATACAAGTAAACAATAACAAGTGAATTTGCACTTCACCCTATTGCACAAACTAGTAGCTATCAGGACTTAATTGCAAAGTGAATAATACGATGGCATTTCAAGCCAACGGTACTGGGTTTGAGTTTCAGGGTGAACATCAACTTTGAGATGCAGGTACATCCAGTTGAAGAGTCCTAAATAGGATGAAACACACATCCTGGATTCCACTTCTAACCACTATCCAACATTGCGCAAATGAATGTTCTGAATTCCATTATAATTCATTATTACATTATAAATTTCTCTTTGATATTTTCTATTTTAAAACAATTTAATATGATTTACAACAACAAAATGACTTAAAACATTTTCATTGATAGTCATGGTGATATTTGATTTTTTTAATTTTAAATTAAAGAGTATCATTTTCTACAATTATACATTGTATAGGTAGAATACATGTACATAGATTATACTTATCCATTTATGTTGTCATAGCAACAAGAAAACTCTTTTACTGAATTTACTATAGATTCTAGTCAAAAGTGACGTAAATACATCATTTTTTTGTATATAAGTTTATATAAATATAGCACATAATATATTATGCAATTTTTTTCAACTAAATTCATGAATACCATAGTGAGTAAATAGTTTTATTGTTCTACTTATATTCTATATTAGTAATATTAAACATATCTAAATCTAATCGAATAGTTTCACAGTATTTAGTCGCTGAGTTAATAATATAGGAGACATAAGGGAGAAAGTATGGCTTTGTAAAAAAATCTCAGTGAATGAATGTAAATTAAATCCAATGTTTTGCCTAGTAATCTCGTTTGAGCTCAGGGGATAACTGCTTGAGGCCGATAGCGAACGGCCTTTTTGTGGAAGGTTTTTGAAGTGTTAACTCTGTTCTTCAAAGAGCCTTAACTCCGGAGACGTAAATCTGTGAGGTAAGGTAAGGCGTG